GCCCCGTGGAGGAGGCGCCGCCGGCCGAGCCGCCCGCCGAGCAGAAGCCGCCGCTGCCGCCGCCGCCGCCGCCCGCCCAGGAGGAGTTCTCCTTCCTGCCGCTCGTCCACGACATCATCAAATGGTAACGGCGGCCCCCGCGGCACCGGCCCCGCCGACGGCTCCCTCGTCGTGGGGGCGCCTGGCACCGGGCCCTGGCACCGGCTCCCTCGTCGTGGGGCTGCCGGGCCTTGTCACTGCGCCCCTCCTCAAGGGGTACCAGGCCCGGCCTGTCAGCAGGTCCCTCGTGGTGGGGTCCCCAGGCCGGGCCCTGTCCCTGGGCTCCGTTGTGGCAGCCCCGGACCGGGCTCTGTTACTGGGTCCCGCATCACGGGGGCCTCGGGCCAGGCSCTGTCACCAGGCTCCTCATCTGGGGGCTCTGGAACGGGCCCTGTCATTGGGCTGCTCGTGATGGGGCATCAAGCCCGGGTCTGTCGCCRGGTCCCTCCTTGTGGGGACACCAAACCCAGGCCTGTCACTGAGCCCCTCATCGCGTGGTGCCCTGGGCCCCGTCCCTGGGGACATGGAGCCTGTCCCTAGGCGTCCCACTGCAGGGAGCCCCACGCCTGGTGTCCCCACGAGCCCCTCACCATGCGGAGCAGCCCTGCACCAGGCCTTGGCCCCTTCCCTGCTCCCTGGACACCTTATCCCTGCTCCAGCTTCCAGTCCCGGCCTCCTGGGTGCCCTGGGATGCGCTCCGAGCCCCCGGCGCTTCYCTTCCTGCCGATCCCCATGTTCTCCCCGCTGGGGAGGATGCTCCGGGGAGCTGACGCAGCTCCACGTGCAGCTCCGCGCTGAGTCACGGCAATAAACGTCAGTGCACGGAKCAGCGCGGCTTGTTCCGGTGCTGCCCCGCTGTTCCGCGCTCCAGAGCAGGGAGCACTGGGCCCGAGCTCTGTTATTGCTCCCAGCTACTCTACTTTTGGCTGATAGCAGCCTCGGGGAGAGCAGGCAGTCTCAGGGCAGGAATAACATCTATTTCCAACCTTCGGCATTCTATGATTCTATGATTCTATGATTCTGGGGTGCTGCAAAGAAGGAGGAGGCCTTTACAGTGCGGGAGGATGAATTGTTTTCACCCCACTCAAGATCTTGAGTCTTGTTGGGATGAGAGGTGAATGGATCCGGAGAGATGCAGGAACCTGGCAGTTCCTGGGACATTTCTGGGGCAGTAACCCCTTTGGAAATGTGTGAGTTCATGGTGGGAGCATATCTCCCCACCGTGTGGGTCTGACCACAGCCGGCTGCTTGTTTCCACCAGGGATGAGTTTCCTGCTGATATTTCACATGGCATGAAGCATGTCTGAAAGAGGAGAGAAGTCCACCTTTGCAAGCCGTGCCAAGGCAAGCCTGGATTCCCCAGGCTCCCCAGTCTAGGCACAGAGAGCGGCACCAAACCCACCGATCTCCCCGCTTTTCCTGCCGTGCTGGCTGTATCCGCAGCCCCTCGGTTCAGCCCTCCYGCGTCCGTGTGGCCCACGTCACCGACACCAAGGTGAAGCTTGGCCCCGCGTGTGCGTAAGCACGGCCGTAACCAGAGAACACGAGCAGGGACGTGTGCGCGGCTGCACAGCCCTCCCGAGCTCATCCGTGGCCCCGAGCGGGTCGCGGTGACCTGTGCGTGGACATCCCGGGGACATCCTGTCACCCATCTCGCCGGGCCACGTCCCCCCCGCCGCCTCCGCCGTGTCCCCACACGTAGCGTCCTGGGCGGCGCTGGCAGCTGCAGGGGCGCCAAGCGGTGCCTCGTGGCCCTGGCAGATGGCAAACGTGTCCCCGAGCGCCGCTGCTTGTCACCGAGCCCAGCCCTGCTCTCCTGGCACTGACTCAGCCCTCAAGATACCTCACATCTCCAAGGTGACTCCGCTTGGGAGCGAGGAGGGATTGTGTGAATTTGCTTACGTTCAAAGGCGCTCGCTGTTTTCCGCCCGTGCGGGTCCCTGGGAGGTTTTTGCAGGCAGGGTTCACTAGTGCTCTTGCTCTTGTACAGTCAAACGGCATCAGGAGCTGCAGGCYGTGCTGCTGTAAACCAGGAGCTCCYGTGGGACAGAATCCCAGAGTGGCTGAGGTTGGAAGGGRCCTCTAGAGATCATCCAGTCCAACCTCCTGCTCCAGCAGGGACACCCAGAGCACAGGGAACCTGGTCACATCCAGGTAGGTTTGGAAGTTCTCCAAAGAAGGAGCCTCCTCAACCTCTCTGGGCAGCCTGTTCCAAACATGGATGTGACAGAGTGACACCAGTAGCGGAGAGCTGGGTCCTGTGCGGGCTCTGGGCACTGCTGTTCCGTGAGGAAGGTCCCTGCCCATGAGCACAGGCTGAGGTTGGACGTTACATTCAGTCCCACATCATCGCAGGCTGCTGCAGACCCTGCCTGTCCCTGTCCTTATACAGGGAGCCAATTCAATGACTTGATCCAGCAGGAAAGGAGCCCAGTAATTAAAAACAAACAAAAAACCCACCAGCAACAACAAAGAGAAGGTTTTTCTTTTAAATCAATCCATGTGAGAAACATAAATTCTCTAGACTCAGCGAACAAGACTTGGGGGGGCTGCCCCTTTTTGAACCAGCCCGATGCCGTGCTGGGTTAAAGGCAGTTCCAAAACCCCTCGTGCACCTGGCAAGCAGCGGGGCCGTGCATGGCTGTATTTTTCCACTGCCAACCTGCCCGTAGCTGCCTGCATAATGGGGATACATTATAGTACCAGCTGTGGCTCGATTTAGAAGGGAGTGATGAATATTTTGTTCCAACAGGCTTTTGAAATCAATGGGGACCATCTGGTTAAAAAGTTTTGCTCTCAGCTGTRTCATGATTCCCCAAAGTCGTAGTCAAGCACCTCTCTGCCCTGTTCGCACCAAGCAGGATTTATTTTTAGGTCTGCCTGTTGAACGGGTCCCAGTTTTCAAAGGCCATTAAAATCTCCCTTTCTTTATTAGCAGGCGCCTTGGAAGCAAGGACTCAGGGTTTTTTTTGCGTAGAAACAGTAAAACTTCTTGCTGGTGTTAACAGAGCTGAGGCAGATACTAATGAGGGTTTGAGGGCAGAGGCTGCTCCAACAACACTGGTCTTTGAAAACCACAGAGCTGGCTGGGCAAACAATTGTGCTGCTCTCAAAAATAAGCTGTCACTTCTCTCTTATTAGGTATATGTCCTCAGAGAGTCATTTTAAAGCTCCAAAGTGCCGTTTACTCTGGTATTGGATACTCGCTGGTACTTTGGGGAGCAATTTTTATTTTTTGCTGTCAAGCTGTTTGACTGCATTGATTTTTCTGGTATTACAGCAGCAGTAGGTCACAGGCGAGACCGGGATCTTTTTTTCCCCAGGTATCTCCACACAACACCTGCGTAATATTACTGAGCTCAGAGCAAGATATGGGCATTCAAAAACAGTGAGAACTTGGCCTGCTGCATGGTAATGTTCGAAAGCTGCCTAAACCGTGGGATAGCTACTAAGGTAACTGGAGCACATTCTGGAAATCAGCAAGGAATGAGTTTGCTCCAGTATGTACACACTCTGTCTATCTGTCTGTGTCCATTTTATTAGGAAAGATAAATTAAGTTTGCATAGAGAGATTCCAAGAGCAAAAGATTCCTGGTGAATTCCAGTTGAAGCTCTGAGCGCACTGGAAATGACAGTGTCCTTAGTGGGGTAGAAGTGAACAGTGCCTCTGYTTTCTGCCCTCTGCAGCATGGACAAGGACAGCCAGGATGTTCACCAGGTGCTGAATGAGCTCAAGAACAAGTTCCAGGAGATGAGGAAGCTGATCAGCTCCATGCCCGGCATCGGTGTGAGCCCAGAGCAGCAGCAGCAGCAGCTGCAAAACCTCCGGGAGCAGGTCCGCACCAAAAACGAACTGCTGCAGAAGTACAAGAGCCTCTGCATGTTTGAGATCCCCAAGGAGTAGGAGGGGAGCAACTCTGCTCTCCGGGTCTGAGCTACTTCCTCTCCTGACCGAACACGGGAAGAGAAGGCGGCAGAAATTTGACTTTTCTTTGGTTTATCCTTTTTTTTTCTTGCCGCATTGCTCCAAACTTGTGCCTGTGTGGATCACAGCCACGTGACTGTGGAGAACACTGTGTGCTTCACATGCGATGATTACAGCAGTACATTCACTTTGATCCGCTGTAGGACTGGGTGTGTTTATACATGCATCTCTCTCCTGTTTTCTTTCWTTTTTTCCTTTTTTTTCATTCAAGCAAGTGGGAGGCATTATGTTTTCTCCATGCGAAGGGGCAAATTATGTGCTGCTTAACTTCAACAGGAAAAAAGAGGGTGTTTTCAGCAATTTTTCTGCCTTTATTTTCTTTTTTTCTTAAACTTACAAACACGGCCAAACTTCAGAGGGAGCAAAAGGGGGAAGCAAGAGCTGTTTGGCCCTGCTCCTGGAAACRGGAGAGCATTGAGTCTCGGGAGACACTTTGCAGTCTGTGCATGTTGAAAGAGCAATGATTGCTTTCAGTTGCTTTTGTAGTTCTCTCTTCCTCTCTCTTTTTGTTTTAAATATTTTTTGGCAATAAATGATGGTTGTATCTAAGATGAGTCATGAGTCGAGTAAAGACCGAGAAACTCCAGACTGCCCCTTTTTTGTGTTTGCACTGAGTGGATACGGGCTGAGCAAGAGCAGGACTGGGGAGCACAGAGGAAATGTCACAAGAGCTGAGCCCAGCCTGTGTCTTTACGTTCTTTTTTTGGAAGCAGAGTGACTTAGGAGACCTAAGCAGAGACTGAGGAGACCGAAGTGAATTTTAACAGTCCCAGCTTGGTAGGCTGTTCCACTGGACACCTTATTCTTAAAACAGAGGAAGGAAAATCAAAGGAATGCCGGGAGCTGTTAGATTTTCCATAAATGGCCAAAGCTCAACACAAGTACAGGTCAGTTCCACATCTTAGCAGCTCCAGGGGCTTTTGGCAGATGGACAGAGCTCATCAGCAAGCGTTTGACCGTCAGCGGCTTGGGAAAAGTCCTTTAATGTTGTCCGGTGTCCAGAGGGACCCTGGACTCCCTGCCCTCTGCCCTCCTCAGCCTTAAGCTGCTGCCCTGCCAGATGACAACCTGGTAAGCAGCCCTGCTGACTACCAAGACGGAAAGGGCCCCTGAATCTCTCGTTTTGAGCATGAGTGTGTGCAGCGTTGGTTGTGTCTCCTGTGCGCCTGGGATGTACAATTCTGTGAATTACACTGAAGGGCTGTGCAGGTCAGTGCAATGCARTTTTCCCCCTGATGCAGAAAACCAGGCTCATGATTTAAGATCATGTTCTATTTTCAGATCTCTGACACATTCTGGAGAGTTGCGCTCAGCTGTGYGGGGAATTTAAGGCAGCTAGACATAGACTGGACTCAGGTGGGTTTGTAGTCCTTAGCTTGGAAATCACTGCGGCAGTGGAAGAGTGAAAAACTGGTTAGTGAAAAACTATCCACRGAAAACGGGCATCCAAGGACAGTTAAAATCTGCACCTTCAAAAAAACAAAACAAAACAAAACAAAAAAGAAAAAAAACAGAAGCGAAGTCTGCTGTTGAGGCAGATTTTCCTCTTTTAAGCCAAAAGACAAGTAATCCTGCTTGGCGAGAGCCGGGATAGTTGCAACTCACCTGTTGCCTGGGGACAAGTTCGTCCCCAGGCGCTACTAGCAATTTCCCTGGGAAGGTGCCAATGTGTAAGGTTCTGCCTAAGCAAAACAGAACACAAAGATATACAAAACACAATGTACACTCTTTTTATGACCGAAGTTACCTTTCTGCTGGCTATTGCCCGTCCCAGTTCAATAAATTCTTCTGTCGGTTGCCGGGAGGGAGGTTTCCTTCTCTTGCCAAGCTCTGTTCCTGCAAAGTCAGGGCTTACACTGAGGAGCTGGATGAAAACAAGGGCTTCCAAAGAAAAGTGCCTGGCCTTTAGCACAGGAGCAAATTAACTCTCTTGACTTGAATTCAAGTTTCAAGCCAAACTGAAGTGGTTTTATTTGCACTCTCACTTGCTCAGTCCTGTTTTGGGGCTTTAGTAGAATTTTCCTCCATTTATACGTATTAAATGGAGGTTTTTTCTGCGCCTTGGGAGGGGAAGAGGGGTTGAGAGAAACAACAGGCTAGATCTGAAAAGCTGGACCCTATAAAAGCTGTTTTTTGAGGATTTTCCCCTTTTCACTTCTAGGAATGATTACTGTAAGCTGTTACGCTAAGAGATTAAAAACCATCAGATGCAAAAGTGACCTTTCGAGCAAAGTACTTCCTTTACTCATATTGCAAAGTATCAACAATGTCCTGGACTGGGTGCAGATGAATCAGTCTCTGTTGACATCATTAGTTTGTTTATTTAGTTGGCGGGCGAAAAAAAGAAGCACGAAAGACAATAAACGCTTTATTATAAAATGATGTCATTTCACTCTGTTTCTGCAGTGAGCGACATGCGAGTGGCCAGCCCTGTCACAGAGCTGACGGGATCGTAAATCAGGCTTATTCAGTGAAGTGAGGAAAGAGCTCTGGATCAGCGAGCCCTGCTTGAGTAACAGCTTGCGTGGCCCCTGTGTGGCAAGAATTTGGGGACTTTGGGAGGCAGAGACCTTTGCACARGGGACGGGAGGGTGATGAAACCAGGCGCTGGGCTGGGAGGCCCCTGCACCAAGTCAGAGCCGGGCTCGGGACGCGGCTTAAGGGGCTTTGATCTCCGCCGCGGAGCCGGGCGAGGAGGCCGAGACGAAGCCACGAGGACCACTTTAAAAAGCTTTTATTTTGTAGAAAAAATAAAACATCAAGTTTCACCCACGGTAGAAACACTTGAAGAGCTTTGTTCATGTCTGTGACAGACAATAACCACATAAAGTGCCTATTTTCATTAAAAAACAAAAAAACCAACCCTTCCCACTACCCCCAACCCCCCCAATCTTGCAAATCAGACAAGACATATGTAAACAAGAGTCAGGTTTTGGTCCCTCCGGGCTGTAACTCCGCAGCATCTTTGCCACTTTGAGGAGTGTCTTCCGCACGTGCCTTTTTGCGGACGCAGACGAACACAGGACACAGAGCCAGAGTCCGTGCACAGCTGCTCAAGTAGAGCGAAACACAGAACCCCCAGAGGCCACGCGGGGTCCCTGCTCGAGGCAGCGCCCCGGCCTCGGGCCGGATGGTTTGGAGGGGAAAGCAGCAACAAGAAGCTCTGTCCCCTCCGCACGCATCCGCGTGGGGCAGAATTCCCTCTTTCTCCAGAGGAGGGATGTCCCAGCAGCAACATCCCCCCTCCTGCCCTCCGAATCTGCCCCCGTCTCCCAAACCTCCCSCCGGGGAGGGAACCCCTCCGGAGGTGGGAGGCTGGGGAAGAGCCTTCCCACCCCTCCCATCTTGCTCAAGTCCCTTGGGGAAACGGAGCTTCTCGCCGGCCACCTCCTAGCTGATCACGCAGCGCTCCTTGTCCTTGGCGTGCCCGCCGCCGATGGCTTTCTCCCGGATGTACATGAGGTCGCTGTGGACGCTGGGCCGCCGGGCGAAGGGAGCCACGATGCCGTAGGCTTCGTCTGCGCCCCCCCGGCCCCCTTCCTTGAGCAGCTTCTTGCCCTTGAGCCCCTTCTTGTGCAGGATGTCGCAGTACTGCACGGAGACCTTGCGGTGCAGGTCCGGGCTCATCTCGCTGGGCAGCTTGGCCATGGCGAAGAGCGCCTGGAACATCTGGTCCAGGCTGCTGTTCTTCTTGGCCGAGATCTCGAAGTAAGCGCATCGCTTGGGGTCCCCTCCCACCAGCTGCTCGATCTCCCGGGGTTCCACCTCCCGGTAAAAGTCCCGGTCGCCCTTGTTGCCRCAGATGACCAGGGGCACCTCGATGTTCTCCTTGGTTTTGTTCTTCAGGCACGACTTGGTCTCCAGGATCTGCTGCTTCAGGCGCTGCACCTCCTCAAAGGAGTCCCGGTTGTCCAGGCTGAACACCAGGATAAAGACATCGCCTGGGGACAGAAGGGGGACGTGAGTTGAGTGCAGGGAAGGGGACAGGCACGGGAACCTCCAGGAGAAGAGGGATTAAGTGGTGTCTTTCTGACCACCCATGCAGCGAGTGAAGTTGCCAACCCTGCACACACCCAAAATCCCAACTCCCTCCACCCACAGCTGGGAAGACACCCCCAAACTGGCCAAGGAACCTGGAGATCTGGCAACCACAACCCCCTGCCTTCCCCTTGGCGCTCCCCAGCCAGGTACCTGTGAGGATGGAGAGGCGGCGCATGGCCGGGAAGGGGTGGTTGCCTGACGTGTCCAGGATGTCGAGCTGGTAGACCTCGCCGCGGATGCTGTAGAACTTGCGGTGGAAGTCCTCGATGGTGGGGGTGTACTGCTCCTCGAAGCGCCCCGTGAGGAAGCGCGACACGATGGCCGTCTTGCCCACCTTGGAGGAGCCCAGGATGACCATGCGGTAGCAGTTCTTGGCGGGGATGCTCAGCTCGGCATCGCTCGGACACATCTTCTTGATCATCGCTGCCAGTTTCATTGAAGCCGGCGGAGGGTGCAGCGTGCGCCGAGGGACGAAGAGGAGGAGGACGGCGGTGCTGCCCGCTGCTCTGCCGCGCGCTCTCGCCCCTACGGCCGCTCTGAGCTCCGCGCTGCCGCCGCCGCCGCTTTATGGGCCCGGCAGCGCCCGCCCCTCGGCGCGTCACGGCCCGGGGGGAGCGGCGGCGGGCGGGGCCCCTCACCCCCCCCYCACCCCCGGTCTCCKCTCCGCTCCTCTCCGCTCCGCGGCTCCCGCTTCTCCCGGGTCCCGGTACCGGCGCTGCGCAAATTGGCCCCTTTGCAGCCCGGTTCCCGGTGCCGGGTCCCGGTCCCGGTGCAGGGCAGCCCTTTTGCAGMCTGGTTCTGGCTCCCCATCCTTTTGCGACCTCTTTACACACCGGCAGCGGGGACTCGGGGCTGTGCGAGCCGCTCCTTTGCTAGCCCCGATCGCCCCCCCACGCTGGGCAAGCTGGCCCGTTTGCCGGGACCCGGTGCCCTGCACGGCGGCGGGTGCGATGCTGTGCGCGGCAGTCCGTTTGCAGCCCGGTTCGGGGACGCGGAGCTGTGCAGCTGGCTGCGGCGACTCGGGGCTCTTGCACTGGGGGTCCCCGAGGGCAGGACCCCTTTGCAGGGCGCCGTGGCCCTTGCAGCGCGGCGGCAGGGAGCGGGGTGCAGGAGTTACCTCCCCGTCCCGGCGGGATTTTGGTTCGGTTCGTTGCTTCGCTCCCCGGACAGAAGCGAGTGYCCGCACGCTGAGCACCAAAAGAGATCTATCCTTACCCGTGAGAAAAGAACTTAGGGTCCGAAAAGCAGGAAAGCACGTACAAGACCCTCTGCACATATGCATTTCACATACACAGGGCAGGGGACAGGAGCAGAAAGAAGCCAGTGTCCCAGCAGGCAGCGACCCCCTCTGCAGCCCAGCCTGCGGGCTGTGGGGTGCCCCTAGAAGGGCGTTTTTTAAAAATCTCTGCTTTTCTCCGAGGGAACGGGGAGGATTTAACAGCATCAAGTGCGGGGTCCCTAACGCTAACCCAGCCCTAATCCCCAAATCAACCCCATAGCCCTAAGCCCCGCTCCAGACCCCAACCCTAATCCTCACCCCGTGCCTAAGGCGGCTGCAGCGCCGGCTCCGGCCGCGGGGGGGCGGGCGAGGGCCCGGGCGCGGGCAGCGCAGCCCGGGCTGGGGGCGCGAGGGGTCCGGGCGGGGGCGAAGCGGCCAACACCGGGAAACGGGCGGGGCCGGAGGGGCAAACGCAAAGGCGACGTCGGCCATCGGGAACCGTTTGCAGGGACTTTTGCAAGGAACCCCCTCCCCCGCAGCGCTCCGAGGGGCCGCAGCTCCGGGAATGCCTTGGTGGGGCGCGGGGGAAGGATGCTGCCTTAATGCCCCCCGACGGTGGGGTCACCTTGGGCTATAAATTAAGCTCACCCAGAGGCTGTAAAGCGCTTGCAGGGCCCCTCTGGGGTGAAGCGGAGCGGTGGTTTGAGCAGCCTGCGGGCGCCCAGAGGGGTTTCAGCAAGGGCAGCGGGGCGGTTGCACGTGCTCGTTGATCTGCACGTGAGACAACCGAGAGGTCTAATAGCTCATTATAAGACACAAAGGCTTATAAGACACCCCAAAATAACCGAAAGATCATTTAATTGAAGCAGTTGGTGGAAAACAACGGGAGAGATAGGAAGTGCTTACCTCTGGGGCCAGACAAATCAGATATCTTGATTAGAGTTTATTCTCAACTGTACAACTATTAATAGTGGTAGGAATGGGTAAAAATAGCCTGCTCAGAGCCGCTTCTTAGGTTGGCCAGCTTCAGCAAATGGAAAATCCATTTGCTTCCTCTGAAAGGCTCTTTGGCAGCAGGGGAGGCAGCACATGCCACCTCGCAGGAGGTCCTTGGCCACCAAGATCCCACGATGTGGCTCTGCTGCGATGGGTCCCCAAGCAGAAGAGATGCCACCGCTGCTGGGGATGCTGGGGCCACCCCGCAGCAGGGGACAGGGGGCTACATCACACAGCACCTGCCACATCTCAGAGCTTCTTGCAGGGCCACAGAGCATCTGGGGAGAGGAGCATGACGAGCCCTTGCTCCGATTACCCAAAGATGCTCCAGAAATTTGTCTCCTGGTGGAACATGTTTGCCGGGAGCCGACTGCTATTGATTGATGAGGAAGCAACCACCTCGCTGCTGGGCAGAGCCCTCCCACGCTTCTGACTGCTTGCTAAAAATCACTTCCTATTTCTGACCTGACTCCCTGAATCCCCCAAATCCGAATCCCAGGCAGGTATCACAGCATTCTCCCCACGGCAGCTGTATTGCCTGCCCGAATGTGACCCTGCTGCTTGTGGGGGCGATTCGCTCGCTGCGCTGAYGCGGAGCAGTTCAGGCTCTTTGCTCATGGCCGGGTGCAGTGAGAGCTGCAGATGCTGCTTGTAGTGTCGAACGCCTCCGGCTCAGCTCAGCCCCCCGTTTCCTGCCCTTTCCCTGTGCCGGAGAGGTGTCCCTGCCACAAGACAATGCACAATAGCTCGCAGCGAGCGAGGCGGCTGAGTTGAGAAAATTCCCCGAAAGTCACACAAACATCCCAGCTACGGAACATGCAGCTCCCGCGGGTCCAGCTTGGACAAACTGTGCAAGTAGAGAGAGGGGGAAAAAAAAAAAGACTTAGAGCTCACGCTAATACCAGCCTCTGCAAAAATGTAGGAAGCAAAATGTACCGGAGAGCCTGAGCATGCATTGCAGAGCCGAGGCCAGAAATAGGCAACCTGAGGGGATACTCGGGAAAGAACGATTACATCAGAGCACGACTCCGCTTGCTGAACAAGCTGCCGAGCCGAGCAGCAGCTTCACCTTGGGGCCGTGCTGGCCTTTGCGTTCCAGCTTCTGGCTCAGGGCAATGGAAGAGCAGAGAGGAGCAGGCGCCGGGGCTGGCCATGTGCACGGAGAACCCAGGGAGTTTGTGCAGGCCTAGGAGAGGGGTGGAATGGGCACGAGCTGTCTTGCTGTCAGGGCTCTTTAAGCCCTTCTCAAAACTTAGCTTCTGTGCAGTGCCCAGCATGGATGTTTCTGCTGCAACCTGGGGTTTGTGAGCGCACAGATAGCCCCAGCAAAGCCCCGTGCGACTGGATCCTGCTCTGCATCCTGGCACCCTCCTCCAGACACTGGTCACAAGTAACCACTGAGAGCTGATGCTTTCCCGACAGCTCCTTGCAAAGAGCTGCACTGCGCAGGACTCTGGAGCCCGACCCAGCTCCTCAACCCTCCGTCCCCATCCTGTTCCCTTCCCRGGGGAGCTGGGCTGGGGGGACCTGGTGGAGAAACCTCCTCCTGCCAMCGCGCTCGTGTCGTCTTTCCAAGGCCCAGATCCAGCCCGTGCTGTCCCACGGCCCCGCTTGCTCCCTGGGATCCGCAGGCTGGGGTCGGAGGAAGAGGAGCAGAAGGGGAGGAAGGGCTTAGCTACTGCTCTCGCTCCCCCTCCCCGGGGAAAAGCATCTGATGAATTCAASATGCAGCATCCAGGGTTCCTATTCATTCCCTATATTATTAGCATGTCTCGTTTTATTAAATATCCTTTAAGCCTTTTCAGAAGGAGCACGTAATTTGCAACATATAATTTTTCCCAGATGAGTTTCAATGCAGAGGCGAGCGGCTCTGTCACTGGGGACCAGGGCTTGTTTGTATTTGCTTCCCTCCCCCAACCCCTGTTTCTTTTGCAACAGTTTTCCTTGCAATTCGACTCCTTCCAACATCCGGGATTTGCTTGACAGGCAATGTGAAAGCCTGAGAAATGTCCCCAAATCCTCGCATCCCGCGGCAAGGGGCAGCGACAGCATCTCCAGGCGCAGTGCAGCCCCCAGGAAAACCTCGTGCCTTTCCAAGAGAGCCACCCTGCTGCCGTGGCGGGGCCTGAGCCCAGCAATTAGGCTTGATCTGGAAGCAGCAGCAGGACCAAGGCTGGAAGCGCCTAACGGAGGCAGCGTGGGCTCTGATCGATGGCTCCGAGCCTCTAATTTCCACACCCGGCTGAGCAAACACATGTGCAGGAGCATTGTGGCCGGGCTACGGGGACAAGAGCTGCTCCTGCCTCCTGAGAAATGCTCTCTGCAGGAGCCAAGATGTTGTCCCCATCCCCAAGGCTTCGGTGGGGAACGCGGTGTTGGTTAAAGCCAGAATTTGGGGGAACTGAGGTGGGTGAGGCCCCGTATCCTGAGCAGTTTGCAGCCGCTTGGCTATTCTCACCCAAAATGATGTGCTGAGCGTGACTGGGATCGCTGACATGTGGCACCTGCAGTGACAAAGGAGGGTCCCGTGCGGGTCGCCCGTGTGTCCCCGGGTTGCACGGGACAGTGGCAGTGGCTCCTGCAAGCGCCAGGAGCATTTGCGCATCCTGCATCCCAACGCCGRCTCCTTCTGTTTGCATCCCAAGCCTGGCACCTCCCTGGGATTAGGCAGAAATGTCACCTGCAACCTGAGACGGGCAGCGAGGGACCTGAAATATAGGGCACAAGGGAGAGGCGGGCTCGGTGACCCCGAGGGACGCGTTGCCACCGCGTTCCCATGTAAATATTGGCGATATGGCCAAAATAAAAGGCTTTTGGGGGCCAGTGTGGCCGGTGGGAGGTCATGAGGGCCACATCAGACCCCGGGCTCTGTCCGATCCTGCTGTGGGGCTCAGGCACCCGMTGGGTTCAGACCTGAGGGTCTCACTGGGTCTGGGTTGGAGCTAGGCTGTGTTTGAGCTGGTGCTGAGCCCACCACCGGAGCCAAAAGGAGCTGCTGCCAGTAAACGGCTCCCTGCCGGAGATAAATAAAAAGGCAACATGGAAAAAGCAGCACATTCCTCTCGTTTCCTTGAAACCAGAGAGCAGAGACCGCGCCGCAGCTGGAGAACTCTCCGGGCTGTCAGAGGGCGGCTTTTTTTAGCATGCAAACARGCCAAAACAGCCTCATAACTTCTCGCCCATCGCGTGCCCAACGGCGACCCAGGTGCCCGGAGCAGCCRGGCTGCGGCCGAGGCCCTGGGGCAGCTGTATCCATCGCTCCATCCATCCCCTCGCTGCCCGTGTCTCTTTATTCCTTGTTGTCCACCACAGCTAAGCCCCCCTCTCCTTGCACAAAGGCAGGGAGCTCTGTATTCCCGTTTTCCCAAACCACAAACGTCAGGAATGGCTCATCCTCCTGCAGCATTCCCACTCGCCAACTCCGGTGGGGTGATAAGCACCCGGGTGTTTATTCTCCAGTAGTAATATTTGTTTGCTGTGCAAGGCAGGAATGCAAACAGGGCACGCAGGGTTACCTGCGGCCACACCGGGTGCTGGGGCTCATCCTGCGATCCTCCCTCCCAAAYAGCCCTGGCCTGGAAGGAACCCCATACCAGGGAGGAATGCAAAAGGCAACATGGAAAAATCCACATCAGCTCCGAGCTGGAGCTTTCGGAGCATCTCGGCCGCGGGCGCGCATGGGGGGCCGCCCCGCGGCGCGGGAGGGCGATGGACTCGACGACCCGGCCGTGCCTGCCAGGGAGAAGTTGTGATTTAACTAAATTCTCCTGCACTAGGGTTTGTTTTGGAGAAATGTCCCGAGCACGAGGGCGGGTGTTATCTGCGGCTTTGCATGCTCTGTTTCTCGTCCCAAGGCTGCAAACAAAGCCAAGCTGCCAAGGCACGAGGACGACCGGGGCGACCCGATGCAGAGTCCCCCCCGATGCTGCCGGCTGAAGACAGCATTCCCCATGGAATTGTCTACGGGAGGGATGCGCTCCAAAGTGTCCGGCCACATTCCCAATACTGCACGTCCTTGCACAGTGGGGACATGGGTGCTGGCACCGCCAGGGGTTGCTGCATGGGGCTGCAAATTCTTAGAAACATTAGGTTTGGTCATTAAGGTTTTTTCCTTATTCCTGGTCAGGGAGGGTCCATTAACCTTTCCCTGCTAAATACCACAAGGAACCTGCTGCTCTGCCTTTCTGCCTGGCTTGGACACTACCTCTCCGCTCAGTGGTTTTGCCTTAAGCAACAAAACAGACTTCTCTGCCATGCCAAAACACAGCTTTGCAGCAGATAGAACCAGTTCTCCAAAGGCAGGGAGCTGTTAATCCGTGCCGGCTGTCACGGGGAGAGCCGGTAAAAACAGGCACAGAGCAGCACAGACAGCAAAGGGGGCTTGGAGCGAGGAAGCAGCAGGAAGAGCTGCAGGGGGCTGCGAAGCCCCTAACCCACCGCGGGGGTTGACCTGCTCTCCCATTTGCAAAGCCCCCAGCCCAGAGCAGGGCTTGAGCTGCTCTCCGCACCGAGAGCGCAACAGCACGAACGGGACCCTGGCYGCAATCCCGGCAGGGCAATGCCTCCCCGACAAGCAAACAGCTCTTGTGCAAATCCTGATTTCGCCTCTCAAGAAATCTCCATTTATTTACACCGGTGCCTTGGAGCCAGGCCTGGCAGCGCTGATATAAATTGCATAATGCAGCGCATCCTCTGCCGGGAGGTTGCTATGGGGACTGGGCCGGCTCGGCCTCCCTCTATAAACATCAGCTGCAAAGGGGATGTGGAAACTTATCTAAAAATAAAAGATTAAGCCCAAGTCTTCAGGGGGAAGGCCACAGAGACGGCAGGAAAAAATAAATAAATATATCCTTGTGTAACAGAACAGGATCACAACAGCGGCACCCGCGAGGCCCGAGGCAATGGAGGTGCCACGGAAAAGAAACCAAAGGCTTTTAATTCTTGAGGAGCAGCTCTGGATGGGTGGACTACAGCCATGCACGAGTGAGGGGGAACCCGGCGGCTTYGCGGAGAGAGGCTGGGAGCGCGAGGAGGCCGGGCCCTCGGCTCGATGCTGCTGCCCRGGGACGGCGGCTGCACGAGCTCCTCCCGGGAATGGCCACAGTGGGAGCGCGGGAAGGAGCCGCGAGGGCTCCAAGGGCACCGGGACATGGGGAAAAAGAGGAACGAGMCCATGGGGACACGGCAGAGGGAGGTGAGCAGGCTGGCTGGGGCTCCCACACAGGCGAGCATTCCCATTCCCATTTTCTCCCCTCTTCCGGGGCTTTATCCTTTCT